AGGGAGTTGTACTGCATCCAAAAGTGATAGGATCAAATCTTTATGTGTAATAGGTTTGTTTGTGGATGTTACCATCCCCCAATTTTTCCATTGTTGTGCAAACACATGTATACATGAATAAGCATAGTTGCTGTCTGTATAAATGTTAACTGTCTTCCCCTTTCCCAGCTTGCATGCCTCTGTTAGTGCGATTAGTTCTGCTGCTTGTGCTGATAAGTGAGACGGCAATGCTGCGCCCTTGAGCAGTTTCGTCTGTGTCACTACAGCATAACCTGTTGCATTAGTTCCATCAAGATTCCTCTTACATGAACCGTCAACATACATCGTTATGTCTGCATCTGGGAAGGGAATGTCCGTCAGGTCTGTCCTTGGTAACACTCTGTTTTCAGTTTCTGCGATAGTCATGTGGCTCCCCATCTATCTCTACTGGCAGTAGTGTAGCTGGATTAAAAGTAGTACATCTCTCGATAGTAAGATTTGGTTGTGATAACAACGTAGCCATGCATGCTAAATGTCTAGCTGGTGACATATAGCTTTGTTTATTTTGTAACAATAGTACGGACACTGCGTGAGTTACTTTTAGAGTCAAGGATCTAAAAAGCACTATTGTTGCAGATGCCTGTACTGCCATGGAGGCTGCTATTACTGCTTGTAAACAAATGCGCATTGCTCGAGCTAGGGTGTCCAACTGTGAGGAGTAAAATGCCACTGGTCTATTTTTCCCCCCATGTAGTTGAGTGAGTACTGATGTCATAAATCCATTCTTACAATCTGCTGTTTGAACAAACGGTTTTGCATAATCTGGTTACATCTATTCCCATTACTTTTAAGGTAACAAATGGTTTCTCTACGTGAGCCAGCATTAATTCTACTGTACCTAATTCTAAAATCTCCACTTCCTCATCGGATGAGCTGATTGACACGTTATCTGAACTTGCTTCTGTGTCACGGTCAAGGTCTGAGTCATTTTGTCTTAGGTCATCTTTATTTGGGTTATCTTGTTTTGTAGTTGTTTCTGTTGTTTGACTTTCTACGTTAACCTTTTTCATCTGTTCAGGGTCTATGTTTGTGTGTGATAATACATGACCTGATTTTGCAGATGCACTTGGCTCTAGTCATGCCTTCTCCACCCAGTCCTCCGTTCCTTCCTGTGGCCTCTTTGCTCTGGAGTCGTTTTCCCAATGTCCAAATTTGCCACACAAAAAGCAACTTCCCTGCTAAAATGTAACAATCATTAATATCCTCCACTTTCCAGTATCGCTTTCCGGGACACCCCCACACACAATATTATGTCTGTTTTGATCTGCTCTGTGTGTATTTACGGTATTTACATGAACACAGAGCGGATCAAAGCAGATACATATACACCGTTTTTTAGGGAGAACACTGCGGTCCCACAGACAATATTGTAATATATCTTTAACAATCAACACCTTAAATGGGTAAAGATGGTCACTTAACGTAGCCTACTACCGTACAACCTGCCTCAGCGCCCCTAAAAGTCGGCACAAGAGTAGACATGCAGAGCCGGACCGACGCAGTAAAGTTCTACACCGCCTGACAGCAGACATGAAACAATAATTTAAAACAAGACGTACCGCAAATATGCCGCAAGCTCATCCATCGGCTATGACTCCCCCCTCCCCACTGAGCACGACGCTGAAGTTGGCTTCCGATTCAGAGCTTCCGATTCGGCAGTTAAGGGTAAAGGGTACATTTAATTTACAGCGCTGAGCGAACAATCCTCCGTGTTTGAACCTCTTAAATCGCTGCATAGCCTATTTATTTGGACTGGATTATCCCAGAGAGTCTAAAAATTCTTTATAACACAGTTTGAGATTTGTGAAACCTTAATTATATTTGTGAAAATGAAAAAAAGGGAGATTTCAGTGCTTTTTTCACATCTTGACCACATAAGACCAGGTCCTGATCTAAAACCACTATACCTAGACTCAAATCTGGACTGGATTATCCCATTGTGTGTCTTTAACATAATGGAATAGTTTTAAGTACACATGATTTTAATTTTGCATGTGAATCCAAAAGCCTTTTTTTCAGTGCAGGCCATTGCACTCTGGGCCATGGGACATTACTGTAAGTCAATAGGACTGTTTGTCCCTGAGGTTTTATAGTCTTTTCTTTTTAAAATGGGTTATGCCTGTTGTTACGTCCCCCTCTAGGTGTAGAGGAAAACAACATACACCAGTATGGAATTGGTATAATAAGTATTTATTTATATATAAAAGTGGTAACAAAATAATAAAGGCATGCAGCCTGGCACAAACAAAAGGCCAACATACCGGTTGAAAACAACCAACAGAAAGAGAACTCCAAAAGAGAGTCTAAGATGATACAAAGTATTGAATAGTACACAAAAAGGGAAACAAAAAACTCACTTTTAACGTGGTATTAATAACTGAAAAGGTTGTAGGAAACACAGCTGCTACTAATCGACAAGCGCTAACAGTAGTGATGGCGAGATGAAGCCTTATGAAGCTTTGAAGCTTTCCAGCCAATTGGTTCGCAAAAGGGTTCATCTCATGAGGCTTCATCATGGGCTTCATTTGAACACAAACCCCCTGTTGGTCAAAGTGTGTAAAACAGGCAGATTGGACATCTCAACAGTGTGCTCTATCTCATACCGAGTTCCCAATGAGTAAAGCCTTAGAATACATCTAAACAACGAACATTAAATCATATTTTCATGTTAACAATATTGTTTTTATTCCAGTTGAATGATTGTGATTGAAAAGCCTAAGGAGGCTGGTAAATATTACAAATAGGGATTTGTATTCCTTAATAATATTCATAAACGTAACCATGTTGTAGCCTGATAAAGGCTAAACCATATCAAAGAATACATTTATTAACTACATTATCTCATTTATCTGTAGCTTTTATAAACAACAAAAAAGACGTATTGACGAGTCGTTGAACCAGAGACCCTGCGATCGTGAGTCAACTGCTTTCCAGCTGAGCCACAGCACACACGCTGAATCTCCCTGAAAATACTGTAACATATTTATTCCTGTATTTATTCATTCATGTTTTTTTCCCTACATTTATTTATGCTTGTATCTATTTATACTTATGACATGTTCCGACCTCTATATAGGTGAGGGTCTGAGCTCTCTTGATTCCATCGTGTCACCGGGCCCGGGTACAGGACGGGGAAATAGGGTTCTTATTATACATCCATTGGTATTATGAGCGTTGTGGTTCAACGGTTCAACCGATCTGAATCGCTTCCTGAAGCAGTCACGTGGTATCGACAGGCAGCGAGGCTTCGTTTGTCAACGATGACGTCACTGGCCCAAAACGATACAAGCCTCGGTACAAGCTTCACAAAAAGCTTCGGGGATTACTCGACACACGCTCCGAAGCCTCGGCGCAATACGTAACATCACTAGCTAACAGCTAAGCAATTACACTACAATATCTCTCTAAACACAGAAGCACTAGTTTAACACGCTGTTAAACAGTGTAGCTCTAACACAGAAGGCACTAATTCGTCAAGCAATCGAGTAAACACAACAAGAGGGTAGAGGCGTCTGTTCCACATCACAGAGCCTCCCGAATGATCACAGTCCACGGCCTTTGTAATCCTCGCCCGGAAGGTGTGCTGGGATTGGAGAACGTTGGTCCAATCACCTCTTCGGAGGCGAGGGCGGGACAGCCAATGAACACAGACAGAGTTAATAGGACCGGGGAGGCGGCGGCCGTAACCCTTGTCCTCCCTTCGTCACCTATGAACCATCCTGGTGAAATATGTTAACGTTTTAAAAGATGATTATTTGAGGTTTTTCCTTTTGTTTTGGTTTATTCTGTTTGCTTTAGTTTAATTTTTAGCAATAACCATTGACGTCACAAATCATATCTTTAAAGGAAAACAAAATGAACAGCTCAACACTGCTAATGATTTACAAAGTGCTTCATAAACAGTGTGGAGAATTGAAGATTATATTCATCTTAATGTCACCCATATATAAGAGGTGTGTTGCATCATGTTATCACTAATATAGGTGTGGTTTTATACATTACTGTGTGAAATAAGGAGCAGGTTTGCAGGACAAGAGACTAGGAATGATGGGGGAGGGGAGCAGAGCATGGATGTATAATAAGAACTGGATACAGCGTGGGAGGCGGGGCCTCATTCATTCCTATGAGAGTTGCTCAATGGCGCATGATGACAAAATGGCCCAAATTTTGAGAGAGCGAAACGTCACAGATTACCCGGCATGCCTGAGAAGTACCCGTATGTGCACTCAGAGCATGCGCAACTTTAACCACGTCGCCCAAAAGGCTCGTTCACATTAAGCACGTGAATTTGCGTACACGTAACAGCACTGCGCGTTCATGACAGCATGGTACTGGATTTATATTAACGAGGCGGCAGTTAGCAGCTAGCTAGTAAATTATGCTAAATTACACATCAATCGTTATGTACTTTTATATTACGCTGACATCAGGATCTAGTGATATCCAAGCAACAGAGCTTCATTTAGCATGATACTTGTGTGGGTTGTACATGAAACCACTTGGTAATATATAAAAATGTATATGTTGAACTTGAAGCCTGTTATGATCAATTGTGAGTTAAAACTTTATCTAAAAAGTAAAGCTGATGATGGATTACTGTGGTGGAGTTAAAATAACAATAGCCTATTTCTTTTTGAAATGTGATGGAGTAAAAGGATAGTAACTGTGATTATTCATGTTAAGTAGCCCACAAGTAACTAAAACAATTGCAAGTGCAATAAGAAGCTACAGGAACGTTAATCTACGTCGGTAATATTAACTTTATTTAATACAACATTTACGGTACAAGATTTACAAATTGTCTCAGGTCTCCCTTGAAAAAGAGATCATTGATCTCAATGGGATTTTACCTGGATAAATAAAGGTTTTGAATTGAATTGAAATCATACAGTCACTGTGCTGTTATCTGAGTTGTGTCATGATGAAGCATGTTCTATGTTAATGAAATAACAATTGGTGTCTCTGTTGTTTCCTTGTTCTTTATTAAGTCTCTAATCTCTCAGCTCGTAGAACTGGTGTCAAAGTTCATGCCGCTACAGGCTCCGTGCATAATCAGTGGTGACTTTATGACCTCAGTACCCGGCGGCGTACGCCCACTTGCGAGAATCTGACTGAGCGTGGAGTCCGTCTTCATAGCGAACCACCGCCTGCACCACAGCTATTGTCGATTTCAGGTACTTTATCTTGTGGTTCTTCAATGCCAAACCTTCCAGGACGTTCTGCAAACAGGAGCAAATATGAAAGAAAACTGAATAAATGTGGCACGATGTTCAAGTTAGATCTTTTTAGTGCACAGCAGGGATAAAAAATGCCAAGTCTGTTCAGAGTGTTGGTTTTAAAACGTTTTGGTAAATTGGGAATGATGCCCATTTTAAGAAATCATGTTGAGTAACGTCTGTGAAAATAAATCTTCAATTAAGCCAGTAATCAAAGAAAACACTGAAGTGTGATGTGCTGCCCGACACACAATTGATAAGATTTCGAAATAATGCGTATGTGGTAGCAACAGAAGCTACATATTTTACATCCCAGTAAAAACATCAAATAAAGGGTTAGTTTTCTAGTTGATATCTTTCCATTAATTACCCTTAATGGTACATTTAAAATACATTACATTGAGATGAGCAAGTTTTACAGCAACCATACACGGTATATAGGAGGATTTGCCTATTTTTAGACAGACCACAAATAGCCCGTTACCACCACAAATTGCTGAAATATTTTTCTCCATTCTTCACACCCCTGAAGGTAGAAATAATGAATTATTGGGTAAGAAGTTAGAAGGGCTTTATGTTAGCTGGGCTTTTGTGTGAGGGATTGTCTACCCACACACTCACATACGTCAGTGTTGTTTTTGTGACACTCACTTTGTCAAAGTCTGGTTCTGCTTCAGTGGCGTTGGGATCCAGCTGGTTGTGGAGCCTCGGCCCCGACACAGCTTTTTTCAGATCATAGTCAAAGAACAGTGCATTTAGAATCACCTTCAAAACAACAAAGATTTTAGACAATTATAACCCAACAGAGTAATTAAATAGTTGAATTAATGCAACTCTTTGATTTAACTTCTTGCAATTTTACCTGAGCGATAGAAGTTGTGATTTTCGTTCCTCCTGAGCCTCCAACCACCATCTTAACTTTGTTGTTTTTGTCAAAGAGGATAGCCGGACACATGGAAGACATTGGCCTTTTTCCTTTAAACAGAAATGACATTATATACAAGTTTAAGTATTTTATTGGTTTATGTTAAACATTATTAAAATAATGTGTATGTAACTACATAAAATATCTATTTAAAAACAAGTTGTATGTTGGATATTAATATATTTTTTTCATCTATTCCACATTGTATTCCAGATTAATAAGCTTGAAATCCTTAAAGATATACTTGAATTGAATATAGTAAAATAATAAAAGATAAGACCTTCCAGAGAGGGGTGGAGACATTTGATCCACATTTTCTTTGTATTAATCCAAAGACAAACATTATTTAAAAACATAATGCACAGTGTCGAAGGACAGATCGATCTCTAACTGTCCAACAGCCAGTCTATGTATATTAAAACTCCACTGGTTTAAGAGCACTTGTGTGCATTTCTGTGTGAGTGTGTGTGTTTTATTCTGACCTGGTCTGATGAAGTTGTTGGGTGAAGGAGGCACTCCGAAGAAGTTTGTGATGAGCGGAGAGCTGAAGTCGTCCATCTCATTGTTGAGAAATATCCCTGTTGATCTTGACATTACCTTGGAGCCCAAACTGCATGAAAACATTAACTATTAAAGGACCAAGGGAGGGAACATGACACATAAACCAACATTGATAGACAAGAGATTTGTAAAGGTCAGTTAGGAGGTCATACGATAGGTTGATGGTGCTGGTGGCGGCCACAGCGCTTCCATCTTCTGCGATCACCGAGAGGTGAGCGGTCCCGTGGTCATCAGGAATGTAAAACTCTGGCTCGTAATAGTTCATGTGGTGTGTGGTGTCATCTGTGATCTTCTCACGGAGGTCATAGGCATAAGAACTTGAAGTCATATTCTTGATGAGCTTTGGAAGAGAAAGAGGGACACGAAAATAATTCATAGGCCAAAAGTATTACTTAGTGTGTTTTTTTTGCAGTAAGTACTGATTTATGTGCTGGATAGTTGACCATTGTTCCTGCTTATCCATGGCAGGAAAAGTCTGGTCACTCATGTGCATGGGATTAAGTAGCAGAGATTCAGACTTTTCAAAGAGGAATTGCTCTTCATATACTAGTCGGTAGAGGTTTAACTTTGATTAGTATTTAATATAACAGGAGAAAACACTATCCTAAATAATAATTACCAAAGTATTCTTAAATTATAATAAAATGCCTCTATAATAATAATAACAACAATTGCCTTTTAAATAATAACCACACACCTCTTTAATTTAAGTGAAATATGCATGAGAGCAAAAACAAAATAAAGCTTGTGGCATTAGGTGATCATTAGGCAAGCATAAACTCATGAACATACATACAAATCTGCCATGGTTCCTTGGAGAAAAGTGTCATTTAAATGTCACTATACTGTACTTTTCAGAAATCCCAGCAAATCAAAGACAGCAAAGAGGTCTCAACAGGGCTTAAAGACAAGAGTTCCTGGCTGACAATATCTTCTGAAATTAAGTCTTCATTAAGTAGAGGATCACACTAACCTTGGTGTGCAATTGCCCACCTAAGCTCTGAAGCAAGGGTGTCATCACAACCCGATTAGCCAAGAGGGGAAATACACTAAATTACCACAGAACCTAAAACCAACCCTTTAACTGTTTTAAGCAGACACCAAGACCTTACATCTGTGATGTTGAGAAACTTTGGATCCCCAAGTGAGGTCCTCTTTGCATACGCAAAACGAAAAGCCTCCACGATGCGATGGTAGGTTAGGATCTTCTTCTCTGTGCTTGACACGCTTTCTGCGGTGAAGTTGTACCCTGTAGAAAATACAACAATCATCAGTCACACGTTTACTTCACAGCTTCACTCATCTGTCTCCATTCAGATGCTGTTCAGGTATAGGAGAGAGGAGACAGCTATAATGCATTTGACCCAGCCGTTTCTGTTCCTGTGTTTTTATTTAGTCTAAAAGCCGCTGTGACCAGACTATGGGTATTACCCTGAGCTGACAGCCGCAGGGGGAACAGGAGGAGAGACTGAGGGAAGAGAGAGTTTTAGTTTGATGGGTTTCAGCTGTCAGACAGAAGCAGGAGTCACAGTATGAAAGTTTTGGAAAGGCACTGAAATGTGTCCGTGGAGCTTCCACCACTGGACTGTGTCCAATTAGAGGTAAATTGGTAAGATTAGTGTTAGCATGTGAGGCAGGGGGCCGCCGTGTGTGTGTGGCCGGTCAGAGGAAAGTAAAGGTTCAGAGATTAATTACTTTAGACGGAAGTTTCTTATCTTATCCTGGAAGGCAGACACTGATCACATATCAAAGTGTTAATATGGCAATTTGCAGGTTCATAGTCGGTTATTAGATAGATTTTTTCATCCACAAAATCCAACATTTTAATTTAAAGAAAAACATATGATTACCTTTTGACAGACAAGCTGTTTCATATTGTTTCTAATCGTAATGCTAGGCTGTGTTAGCAGACAATCATACTTAGCATAAAGCTACATTAGTGGTATCAATCTTGTCTTGAGCGCATTCAAAAAATGTTACCATTTCTTCTTTGATGTGATTTTCTTGAATTTGTATTTTAGCCAACACAACCACAGCATTACAGGTTGTCTTAATGACATTGAGCACAACTTTTAAGTTCAAAATTGCCCTTGCAGCAGAGTAAATCACCATAATGAATTGCGCCCTAATGACCGCCCTGCATGAATGTCTGTAGGCCTACTAAATGTAATGGCAAGCCATCCAATAACTTTTAATATTTTGCCCAGAAGCACATATTTCAATATGGCTGGTGCTGCTGGATGAAAGGCTGGGGTCAGTAAAGCCATTAAAGGAAAGGTTCAATATGTTCCAAGTCTGTCCTCAAAGAATGGTCAGATTCCTAAATGAGGTTGTCATGTTATACAGTAGTTCATACTGGTTATACTGGTCTTCAAAAGATAATTTTCAATGTGATTTTTAAAAGGGATGAGGGACAAAATCCACTATACTCTGTGCAAACTTTATTCCACAGTGTATATATGCTTTCTAACACACTTTCATTACAAGCATCCCTCATTGAAAAAGCATTTAAAAAAGACATTTTAATGACCAGTATGAATTTTAAGAAATGGCAACATTTGCTTCAATGCTCAAATCGGTATCTGGCTGTCGTTTTAGGCTGGGAAAATATGTGTGAGCCATGAATTTATGTATGACGGGAAGAATTATGGTTGCGGTAAAAACATACAAACATTGACAGTTTGACAGGAGTTTTTGCAGCATGATAACAGTTTCACACATCTTCTGCCTGATTTAATATGAGAAATAAAGAGTGTTTCAGTGCTACATCTCATAATTCATGACATATTATATAGTAGTGCATGCTAGATACCCAGTTAGCTAATTTAAAGTCAACACTTTATTTAGTAGATGTACTGTGCAGAAGAGACACATGCCCTCAGTGGTGTCTGGGAGAGTGAATGGTAAAGTGAAGGCATCTCACATTACAACACGTTCTCACATGTGTCACCCGTCACATGTTGACATTTATCGCAGACCCCCCACACCATGGCAAATATGAGGCGATTAAGGCCCTTCTCCTTAAGACATTTAGCTTATCTGCTAAGTTGTCCGGACGGCGCTGGCCAACACGCCTGTAACGGAGCCCCGTGCCTTGGCTGAGGAAGCGGATCGTTTTTTCCTGGCTACACAACAGTAAGTATCATTAGGCCACCAGGGTGGGTAGAGGGGGTCAGGAGGAAGGGACTGAGCTGACCGCCCAGGAGCACAACAGAGGACCAGGAAGGGATCTCGGGCGGACGGCCCGGGGGCAAGGCAGAGTTCAAGGAGGGGTTCTCGGGCAGACGGCCCGGGGGCAAGGCAGAGTTCAAGGAGGGGTTCTCGGGCAGACGGCCCGGGGGCAAGGCAGAGTTCAAGGAGGGGGATTCGGGCGGACGGCCCGGGGGCAAGGCAGAGTCTAAGGTGGGGGACTCGGGTGGCCGAGCATGAGGGCGAAGGCAGCGGCAGGAAGAGTCAGGGGGCCGGGCTCGAGGACGAGGGCAGCGGCAGGAAGAGTCAGGGGGCCGGGATCGCGGGCGAAGACCACGGCTCACAGAGGGCCGGGATCGAGGGCGAAGACCACGGCTCTCAGGGGGCCGTGCTCGAGGGCGAAGACCACGGCTCACAGAGGGCCGGGATCGAGGGCGAAGACCGCGGCTCTCAGGGATCCGGGCTCGAGGGCGAAGACCAGAGAGCTCCGGAGGCCGGGCAGGAAGGCGCTGACGGGACAGTGCCGGAGACCGGGCAGGACCCGGTGTCGGAGCTGGTGGGACAGGCCTCTGCAGGATCCCCCACGGAAGAGGACCAGGACACGGGATTGGCAGGACCCCCGGCAGGAGAGCAGTCGGCGGGGCCTCCAACGTCACAGGACATAGGATTGGCAGGACCCCCGGCAGGAGAGTAGACGGCGGGACCTCCAACGAGACAGGAAAAAGGGTTGGCAGGACCCCCGGCAGGAGAGTAGTCGGCAGGGCCTCCTACAGCACAGGACAAAGGGTTGGCAGGACCCCCGGCAGGAGAGTAGTCGGCGTGGCCTCCAACAGCACAGGCCAAAGGGTTGGCAGGACCCCCGGCAGGAGAGTAGTCGGTGGGACCTTCAACGAGACAGGACAAGGAGCTGGCAGGACCCCCGGCAGGAGAGTAGACGGCGGGACCTCCAAGGGGACAGGACAAAGGGTTGGCAGGACCCCCGGCAGGAGAGTAGTCGGCGGGGCCTCCAACGGCACAGGACAAAGGGTTGGCAGGACCCCCGGCAGGAGAATAGTCGGCGGGACCTCCAACGAGACAGGACAAGGAGCTGGCAGGACCCCCGGCAGGAGAGTAGACGGCGGGACCTCCAAGGGGACAGGACAAAGGGTTGGCAGGACCCCCGGCAGGAGAGTAGTCGGCGGGACCTCCAACGAGACAGGACAAGGAGCTGGCAGGACCCCCGGCAGGAGAGTAGACGGCGGGACCTCCAACGCGACAGACATACGATTGGTAGGACCCTCGGCAGAGGAGTAGTCGACGGGGCCTCCAACGGGACAGGACATGGAGTTGGCAGGACCCCCAGTGGAACCTCCAACGGACCAGGACATTGGGTAGGGACTTGAGACGTGACTCGAGAGGGGACTCGAGAGGAGACTCGAGAGGAGACTCGAGAGGGGAACCAAGGGGGAACTCGAGAGGGGAACTAGAGAGGGGACTCGAGAGGGGACTAGAGGAGAGACTAGAGGAGGGACTAGAGGAGGGACTAGAGGAGGGACTAGAGAAGGGAACTCGAGAGGGGACTCGCGAGGGGAACTAGAGGAGGGACTAGAGAGGGGACTAAAGGAGGGACTAGAGAGGGGACTAAAGGAGGGACTAGAGGAGGGACTAAAGGAGGGACTAAAGGAGGGAACTCGAGAGGGAACTCGAGAGGGGACTCGGGTAGGAACTTGAGAGGGGACTCGAGAAGGGACTCGAGAGGGGACCTGAGAGGGAACTGGAGAGGGAACTGGAGAGGAGACTTGAGAGGGGACTCGAGAAGGGACTTGAGAGGAGACTGGAGAGGGGACTCGAGAGGGAACTGGAGAAGGAACTGGAGAGGGGACTCGAGAAGGGACTCGAGAGGGGACTCGAGAGGGGACCCGAGAGGGGACTCGAGAGGGGACTTGGGTAGGAACTGGAGAGGGGACTCGGGTAAGAACTGGAGAGGGGACTCGGGTAGGAACTGGAGAGGGGACTCGGGTAGGAACTTGAGAGGGGACTCGGGTCGGAACTGGAGAGGGGACTCGGGTAGGAACTGGAGAGGGGACTCGGGTAGGAACTTGAGAGGGGACTTGAGAGGGAACTTGTGTCGGTCGGTAAGCCGACAGGACACGGGGAGCTGGCGTCGTCTGGGGAGCCAGCAGGAGACGAGGTGCTGGAGTCGGCCGGTACGCCGACAAGACTCGGGGAGCTGGTGTCGGCTGGGGAGCCAGCAGGAGACGAGGTGCTGGAGTCGGCCGGTACGCCGACAAGACTCGGGGAGCTGGTGTTGGCTAGAGAGCCAACAGGAGACGAGGTGCTGGAGTCGGGACCATGACTGTATGGGCCAGCTCTGGTGCAGGGACCACGGTTGTAAGATCCAGTTCTGGAGCCGGAAACATAGCTGTAAGGTCCAGAGCTGAAGCCTGGATCATGGCTGTGTGGGCCGGTTTTGGAGCCGGAAACATGGCTGCTGGGGCCGGCACTGGAGCCGGAACCATGGCTGCTGGGCAAGGAACCGGAACACGGATCCATGGCTGTGTGGGGTGGTACTGGAGCACGGTACCATGGCTATGTAGGATGGTACTGGAGCACGGAACCATGGTTGCTGGGTCCGGCACTGGAGCCGGAACTGGCGCTGGAACCCTGGCCTTTCGTCCTTTAGGAGTCTTTTGGAGGCTTCGTGGACCTCCAAACGCCAGACCAGACCCCAGGAAAGGGTCAGAACATGAAGCCTGGTACTCAGGGCTACGTGAGAAAACCCTAAGCCACTCGGGCAACAAGCTCCAGAGCCAGGGCTTGCGAGCAACCTCCTGACGTGCCTCCTTCAACGCAGCCTCTCTACCCCGTCTAGATGAGGCGCCTTTCCATGTATAAAAAATGTACTCCAGAGAGTATCCAAGACTTTCCGCCTGTCGCATCAAAAGGGCTGAGTCTGCTGGGTCCATAATGTGGTCGGTTCGTACTGTCACGGTGTGTGAAGCAGGTAGGACCCAAATGCAGATTAAAGTGCAAATTCCTTTATTTCAAGGCTAGGTGAACAACAAAGACAGAACAGAACACTCATCGACGAACTAGTCATGACAAAAGACGAACCGACAAAGACAGACAGAAAAACCAGAACTTAAATACACACAAGACTAATCACACAAACAAGACACAGGTGAGGAGGGAGGAGAAAACACAGGGGCCACAGGTGAACACAATCGGGTAATCAGACACACCAGGGAAACTAACGACAGGGAACCACAGACAAATCCAAACAAGACACAACGCAGACAAAAACAGGCAAGACAGGAGGTGAAGACCTTTCAAAATAAAACATGAAACAAGACAAGACAAAACACCATAAAGACAGATCGTGACACATGGACTCTTAGTGGACGTTAAGAATAGGCGTTTTTTTGATGCCTTAACGTTTTCTTCCCTCGTGTGCACACTTGGCAGCGCAGCGTAAGGACTCGCTGTCGGGCTCGCTGTCGTGCTCGCTGTCGGGCTCGCTGTCGGGGGCAGACACGTTTCTCAGACTGTTGGCCGAGTTTCCAGACCTGTCGCTGCCCACCTTCTCTGCGCTTACCACTAAGCATGGCGTGGAGCACCACGTCACTACCGAGGGGCCTCCTGTCTACGCCAGGGCCCGGCGGTTGAACCCTTCTAAGCTGGCTGTAGCGAGGGCGGAGTTCGCAACCATGGAGTGCCTGGGCATTGCCCGCCGCTCCGACAGTCCTTGGGCTTCCCCCCTGCACGTCGTCCCCAAACCGAACGGCGGGTTCCGCCCGTGCGGGGATTACCGCCGACTCAACGACGCCACTACGCCTGACCGCCAGGGTGGGAATTTCACGACGGCCACGACGGCCATGGCCGTGATGCCCTGTGAAAAAAAATACAATTCACGGCCAAAGTGGCCTTGGTGCCCCTGTCAAAAGTTCCAGTGTAAACAACGCTAGTAAAGTCATACTAGTGCGCGCAGTAGGATAGTCCCGTGCCTGTGGATCAGAGCGATTGCTCTGCTGTGATTGTTCCGTCAGACATGCCGTGTAAACAATGCTAGTAAAGTCATATTAGTGCGCGCAGTAGGATAGTCCCGTGCCTGTGGATCAGAGCGATTGCTCTGCTGTGATTGTTCCGTCAGAAATGCCTGTAGGGGCCCGACAGCCTGCTCCTCAGCCGTGGGAGCAAGACAAGCATAGGTAAGCAAGCGGACCAAGCTGTTTTGATATGATTTAACTGAAGTATGTGGTAGTATTTGAAAGGACTTAACATTTACGTGTTTATAGAAAGTACTATTGATAGGTAATTACCATTGTATTAGCCTATTTAAAGTCGACTCGTTACATTTTGTCATGAAAACTAGCGATAGCTAGCTAGTTTGGATAGCGCTAACGTCTTCCCTTCAAGGGGTCTACATCTAGTGTTGCTTCTACAAGCTAGCAGATAGCTGTCACCTTTGAATCTAGTATTTTTCTTGCTAAGCGGTTTTGATATAATACATGACTGACTTATGTGGTTTATGGCTGAACTTAACGTATACGTTTAGGAAACACTATTGCTATTCAGCCATTTGTAAAACGACTGGTGTTGACGTTAGTGCTACACTTTTCAGTCATGTTGATTGACCAGCGTAATTTAACCAAACGGCCTTTGTGCCCTGTCATATGGCCTTTGTGCCCTTGAAAAAAATGTGAACGGGAAGGCCAAATGGCCTTGCCCCTAAAATGACGAAATTCCAAGCCTGCTGACCGCTATCCGGTGCCGCACATTCAGGACTTTTCGGCGCATCTGGCCGGTGCGGATGCCTTTTGGACTCAAGAATGCCGCTCAGACGTTCCAGCTTCAGTGCAGGAGCACCTGTCCCACCTCCGAGCCCTTTTTATGCAGCTCAACGAACACGGATTAATCATCAACCCACGCAAAGTGCCAATTCGGGGTGTCTGACATTGATTTCCTGGGGCACCACGTCACCAAGGGCGGTGCGGCACCTCTGTCAGCGAAGGTGGAGGCTGTTGCGGCTTTTCCTCGCCCGCTCACAGCCCGGTCGCGCCGTGAGTTTCTGGAGATGGTGACCTTCTACCACCGTTTCATCGCCCGGGCCGCACACATCATGCGGCCGCTTTATGAAGCGTTGAAAGGCAAGACCCCTGTCCAGGCGATCGACTGGACAGCAGAGGCGGACGCCGCTTTTGCTGAGGTCAGAACCATGTTCAGGCGGCTTTGCTAGCACACCCATCGTCTGCGGCTCCCATCTCCATCACAACGGACGCGTCGGACTACGCGGTCGGCGCGGTGCACGAGCAGTGGGTGGAGGGCGCTTGGCAGCCGCTCGCCTTTTTCAGCCGCCAGCTGACGACCAGAGAACGCAGATACAGCGCCTTTTAGGGCTGCACGATATTGAAAAAAAACTGACATTGCGGTTTTTTGTTCCCCTGCGATATATATTGCGGTTTTTTTAACCTGTTAAGCCCCAAGGTCACGGCGGGTACTTTACTTTTTTTTTCACGACACTGTGTCTCTGGGGATCTTAATATTTAAGAACCTATTAATGTGTTATACCAGATTAACGGAAATAATCTCAGCTAACTGACGATATAAACAATTTTTACCAAAACAAAACACAAGTCTCATAAGAAGCATCTAAAAAATTACATTACATTACTGAAAAAAGTTTGAGAAGCACTGCTCTAAAGTACCGCAGTCTCTTCTCCTAAGTCCTTTTGAATTCTTCTATCCACTATCCCTTAACCCCGTGACGTTTCAATCAGAGGTCAAGGAATAGGAGATAGGGTTAGAATTTAGGAGCTGATTTTTAAACTATCCGAACGCAACCATAGACTTCACAGCGGGCGGAACTTGTCATAAAGTCCGCCAAAATAAAGCCCGCCCATTTAGAGGGAAGATATGATTGGTCAATTGTACTGTCATTTGACATTACTCTCTCGTTGAGTTACTATAGCTGGCCCTCTGTGAATGTAGAGAGGGACCAAGCTCTCCCGTCTTCACAGTAACTCACAGAGACGGCATTTAACCCTTCACATTCCAACAGAAACTGAACAGGCAGATTCGAAGGATTTATTTATTTGGAAATGTTATTTTAAATACAATTAAATCAAGTTATTTTGGTAAAACTAATGAAAAATGTAACTACAAAAATATATTAAAAAAAATATTTTTTTTTTTTTTAATGTTTTCAAATATTATTTTTTAGAATATCTTAGGCCCACACGCCACTGGTGTAACTATACCAATATACCGATTGGATCAAATATAAAAGTCAGCCGAATTAGTATTGATACTGCAAGGAGACTTAATATTGTTAAGAGACATTTTGTTTGATTGCTGATTTATGATCCACGTCACATATTCAGTTTCGGCGGCAGTTATTCATGTTTGTCTAGAAGTCTCCTCACCAGGGCTCTATAAATAGCGAACTACGGCAGATATGTAATAGCCTATTTAATGCAGCCGAACCGTGTATTACAATGCTGTTATGTGATGACCTTCAAAGAGAAAAGCAAGCAAACTCGGAATAAAATATTATTTTATTTAAAAAAAATGTTTTCGGATTTCACATCAACAGGAAGTCTGGTTAACTAAAATGTCCGTGCGGAACATTACCCGAACCCATAGATCCGTTGGTGAATAATGTCAATCACCACATTACACACATCCCTTCACATTTACATTTTAATTTACATTAAAGTATTTCGTGAGGCCTTCTAAAATGTTTTTAAATATAATTAGGGTTGTAGTTGAAGAGTTTGTAAATTATTGCGTTGCCTGGCGATTTAATACATTAATGTAGCCTTTGTTTCTGCTAAAAGAGGTGTCAACCAGCTGGGGCAACAAGAAAATCGGCGAAATCGAGTGTGACTATTAAAAAATGAATAATTATTATATTAATATTGACCAGGGGCGTCGCCTGGACCTGAAAACATTCAGGGCTTAGCCCACAGTGGCAGCGACGCTAAAGTGGATTTTTTTACTGCAACACTCCCCACACGCACACACACAGTACAACCGTGACTGTTACAATTAAGGCTCGATAATCAGCTCACAGCATATAGGCAGGGGGTAAAGTACTATTTTTTTATGAGTGGGGGGCGGACCTCACCTCCTCTAGGGGGGTTCGGGGGCATACTCCCCCGGGAAGATTTTTTTTTAAATATTGAAGTTAAAAGCATCAATCTGGTGCACTTTGAGAGCAACATTAGGAGATCTATGGATACATCTCTCAACACCCAGATGAAACAGAACTGTAAACAGATATACTGGCGCTATCGCCACACACACACAGAGCCGAGCTTGAATGACACAAGCACACGTTTATTTCCATGCAACTCTGTGATTGGTCTGGTGTCATGCCTCTGTTGCATTCACTAAACACGGGAAATTACAGTCCTGCCGTCCTCTCTTGTGTCATGATGAGGTTCACGTAAAGCACGGTTAATGTATTATATTATTGAGGGAGAATTGTCCGGGGCTACAGAAAAAACATTCGGGGCTAAAGCCCCGGATGCCCAGGCGAGGCGACGCCACTGATATTGACAATAACAACCGACCGTCGGGGAGCGTTCTCATGTCGTCTATTATCAACGCTATGGGAGGTCTATGAAGGTCTATGGGACGCCCTGCCCGTTGAAAACTGACTCTCAAGGGGTACCCTGTGCGTAATACAGTGACGGGGAGGGGCCTTGACCGACCTTCAACATGTGACGGGTTGGGAGTGAGAACGTGTTGCACATTAAGGCACTCCCACTCAAGGCTTACCTTTCAAGATGTTTAATATCAGTGAGAGCACAGGGCCGCTAGCGGGGACATTGGGAACAGCCATGTTGTACTCCCCCAGATCCACTCTTAAAGGGTTCTCGTCCAAGACCGGCGCATAATCCTTCAGATCCTCCATTGTGATGATGCCGCCTAAACACGGATTGACACACACTGTGAATGCACACTAAGACACGGCTGGAAAAACAAATCATCCTTAAATGGAAATGAGCTGTGCCAAGAGAGGTGCATGTTAGCATATTTTATTATATCTCCTGAAGCCTTTTAAGCAAATTAATTTCAGTGATAAGAAACTTGGCAAGTAAGGATGATAACCATCATGTCCTTGTGTGTGAGATTACTTTGCTCTGTGGGTAGGGAGGAATGATATAATCTGCAGAAATAACTTTTTTGATTGTAAAAATAAATAAAAAAACGATTTAAACTGTTTTACTATGTAGGACAAAAGTGGAAACTTGCTACTGCTATCATGCATTTTATTCTAACAATGACATCAGCATGTCTAAACCAATAGATTCATTATATTTATATATTCTATGCTCATCGTGTTTCAACAATATCCCAAAATAAATAAAAAATAAGAATACTACCTGCTGCCTGAATATCATCCACAAGGCTCTGGGCCAGTGGTCCATGGTAGAAAGCATTAGGACCCTCCTCTGCTATTTTCCTGTACGTTTCTCCAAGCTTGGTAAATTTGATGGTGTCATTCTCTTTCAGGATGTCACCATTTCCCCCACAAAACACTTCACTGAAAAGGAGAACAATAAAGATGCAGATTTTAATATGGCATGCTTTAAATTGAGGTTATCATAAAATGATACAAGGCTTCTTCGGTTGCCTCTCACCAAAGAGCTGTGTCAATTCTGATGGTTTCCCTTTTGCTGGACAGAGCAGAGGCTAGTGCCCTGCCCAAAGGAAAACCATTTACTGCAAGAGCAATGCTCGGCTGGAACAAGTCCCTCCAAGGCAGTATGCCGTGTCGTTTGTGCGCCATTTCATAACCTCGAATCTCTCCAGGTACAGCAACAGACAACCCTCCTACCGACCATGGAAATTAAGATTTAGATTATTGCCTCATAAATTATTTGGACTTGGACTAGGGCACTGGTACAAATACTACTGTGGGATTTGACCTGGGAGACCCAAACTGTTGTTGTTTTTCCTGGGCTTAGAGCTCTCAAATATTACACACATTACATTTAGCTGACACTTTTATCCAAAGCAACTTACAATAAGTGCAATAAACACTATACTGTAGTTACAAACTGCTCAGAACAAGGAAAATGTCAAACCATTGCAAGTGCTGATAAATTAGTATAGAATGGGCTAAACCCTTTTAGCCCCTGTCACAATGTCCCGAAATTGACACCCGATGGACACACGATAAAGGAAATGTTCAAATTCGGCTGTGATTGTAGCAACATCGGGCCATTCGTGAGGGCATCTAAGCCATCGTATGACCGCCGGTGGAGTTTCTCAGGCTCCGGCAGCAACTTCGTGAGCGGCAACTTCGTAAGGCACTCGTGAGGGCATCTTGTCAAATCGTGTCATCTTCGTGTTATCATCGGTGCATTCGCCCTCACTCTGATCGGGGCGAATGCCCGATGGCACCGATGATAACAAGATGCCCTCACGATGGCCTTACGAAGGGCAAAATTGACACACGAATTCAACACGAAAATGAACCTTCGCAAGGTCCTTCGGCAATTTTTTGGCATGCCAAAGATTTTTCCACCGCTCACGAAGTTGCTGCCAGAGCCTGAGAAACTCCACCAGCGGTCATACGATGGCTTAAGATGCCCTCACGAATGGCCCGATGTTGCTACGATCAAAGCCGAATTTGAACATTTCCTTTATCGTGTGTCCATCGGGTTGTTTTATTGCACAACAAAATCATGTAAACATATTATGTAAATAACCCAATTTGTGTTCTGTGAAACTAAAAAGGATATAATATATTATTTTGAAGGACAGTTGACAGGAAGTTGTTGTTGTTATTGAAACAACATTACGGAGAAAACGTAATATTTTCTACATATAACGACGGATAAAGTAAAGAACAAAGTCTGAAGATATCAGTACAGTATCATAGTACTGTAACATAATTGTTTTTGGTACTTTCATTGCAGTTGTATGTCTTAAATGTAATGTAAATGTTGCCTTCGTGTGTGGTTCGGGGCCATCTTCGTGCGAAATTCACAATTCCATATTCGTGTGTCCATCGGGTGTACATTTCGGGACAGTGTGACAGGGGCTTTAAGGTCATACAAATGTGATTCTTCCCCTAACTATTTTACATTAGTTTGCAACTGATTTTTTCTTCTTTTAAGAAATTCATTTATATTCATATTAACTGAAACTTCTGCCAGCTCTTTTCTACGTCTGATAGCACCGGTTAAACATTACCCTCCTGGGATAAATCTATACTGTTCCCAAACATGTCCTGCGTTGCATTGCGTGGAGCCGTCTCCCTGGCGTCAATCGTCTCAACCAGTCCTGTACGTCACAAATCAGGAATTACATTTAGGATTAAGATGATGAGCAAATGGTATGAGTTTGCAGCTTCAGTGATTAAGGAAACAGAAGAAGCTTTAGTGGTGGTGAGGTATGTTTTAGTAAAGTTGTACCAGTTGTGGCGTTGTAGATGATTAGGAAGAGTCCTCCTCCGATGCCCATACTGTGAGCGTTCATAAGTCCAACACACAGTAAAGCAGCTATAGAGGCATCTACTGCAGAGCCCCCTTTCATCAGTATGTCTCTGCGGTAAAATTAATTAAAACACAAGAAGGGAAGGGGTGGAGGATTAGTTTTTGCACTAAAGACCTTAAAGAGGACAGTAAAGACTTTAAAGAGGACAGTAAAGACTTTAAAGAGGACATATCTATGCTCCTTTTCAGGCAGACATTTGTATGTTGTGCCTCTACTGCGACATGTTTACATGCTTTAATGTTCAAAAAGTGCTTTATTTTTCTCATACTGCCTGTGCTGCAGCACCACATTTCACCTTCTGTCTGAAATAAACGCTAGCCAATAGAAGTGCGTGTGTTACATAGTGATGTCATGATGTTACTGAAGTAAACAAAGGAGTCCAATGGAGGCATTTAAGGCAAGGGGGGAGTTTGTGGGAGAGAAACTCCCTCTGGAGGGAACTCTGGGATTTTTGCCTTTGCAGACCATTTACATGCACAAAAACACATGACAAAGGGAAAACCCCAAATAGCATTAAGACCCTTTGTTGGAAAAGAATAAAACATGTTCACATGGATTTGCAAGGTGATGTGCAAGCAGTTTTCATGCCTGTGTTTATGCATGTGTGAGTCAGATTACAGAAGAGCAACATGTCTGCCCTTCAGGATGTTCGAGTGTGTGCGCTCTCACCTGCCGACCTCTGAACACGGCCCAGCGTCTGCTGCCACCGCTGCCTTCTGGTATACATGCTCAGCCGGTATCTTCCTTTTCCCCATACCATAGAATGTGGCGACTGACACTAACAGCAGCACGGCCAGGGCCAAACGTACTGTTTTCTTCTTCATCTTTGTAGTGCAGGAACAATAAATGCTTTATGAAATACCTGTCAGGAATCAAACATTTGTATAAATTAAACCTGTAATGTTTGCAAAGGTAGCTGCAGAGAGCTGCATGTTGTTACATCTGAAACAAAGCAAACCAGATTTACACATCACAAAATAAAATAAATATTGTATTATCAACAGAATAAATACATTTGGAAGAAATGTTAAGCCATTTTATAACCCACATGTTTAATCTAAGCCTATTTACTGTTGCCGCTGTAATCCGGACACTTAGACTTGAAAACAGGTTAGTTACCAGTTTGTAGCTCTGCATAATTCATGATGTCTCAGTGCATATCTGTTGTGTGAAACGTATTTACTTCATTACTGTAATTGAATTGTTAGAATGTTGCATACTATAACTGTACAAAAATCCTGCACAATGTACTGTGGTAAACTCACTTTTATGCAACACAGACACTGACCGACCACTATGTCTTTTTTGTTTATCTGAAGGACTGAGAAACAAAGAGGTGGAAGGCTAAGGGTTTTCAATGAGGCACAGGAAGCAGCAGTTACAAACTGGGTTTTGGAAAACAATGCATCACACTTAGAGAGATCCGAAGCATAGTAACTATGTGCTGAGATGCATGTTGCACAATGTTAGTTTTGAACAAAAAACTCATTTGTATTTCTTCATTTACTGTATTTCTGTAAACTCAAGCAATCTTTCTCTGCAGAAACCTCTATGTACAGAGCATAGCCCATAACAGATGAAGTGCTTTAGCGTATGCTCAGCAGCGTGTAGCTGGGTGGTGTTGTGAGTTTTCATAGTATGTTTAATACTTAAAAACGAAAGTTAGTTATAATCAAATATAATCAATTATATTCTTGTATAACCCACAATGAAAATGCTTCATATTTTAGGTTTTCTATAGTTACAGTATAAACAAAACAAAGTGGTTTGTTTAGGTTGAGTTTTCTTCCTCTCCTCTGGCAGCAGTCCAGAGAGAGGGGGGGGGGGGGGGGGCTTCACACTAAGGGGAGAAACATTAAGAGGCCAAAGAGAGTTCATGTCCTTTTTACCTCATATGAAAGGGTGTCTTATCCCATAACAGCTGTGGAACATGTTGGGACATGTTCAGCCTTGTACATTATGCGCATGCGCGGTTTTCAACTGAATTGGGTGTAAGAGGAGGAGTTTGTTTTTTTGGGTTTAGGATCCAGTTTTTTTAGCATAAAGAGACTGGTTTTTTGAGAGAGCGCGAGAGAGGGGGGGTGACCCCTGGTAGACTCTCTCCGGGTAGGCTGTGTGCTTCAGAGCTGGGTTAATAGCTCTCGGTAAGGTCCTTCTAGACGGGGTAAATATCTCTCGAATTTATTGGTTGTTGGCTGAGTGGAATGATTTGATGAGAGAAAGTGTGTGAACCTTTATAAATACCGCGACCTGTGGGGAAAACATCTGGTCCCCCGAATTTTGCGGATAGGAATGTGTTTTTGAAAGGTTAATCCGCCGTCTGTGTCGGAAAAAGTGTTTGAAAATTATAAATACCGCGACCTGTAAGGACCTTCCTTCGAATTTTGCGGACAGGAATGGGTTTTTGAGTGTTAATCCGCCGTCTGTGTCGGAAAAAGTGTATGAAACTGATGTGAATAAATGGGTGAATGAAAAGTTGAATGCGCTTTTTATTGTCACCGGTCTTTTTACGAGGAAATACCTCTAAATTCTATCGGGAGAATTTTAAAATGTCACAACTGAAATGGGCAGTTGAAATTAAAACATTTTGGTAATAAATGTAAGACTGTGAATTAAAGTTTCATTTGAACATGATCACAGCACGGTTTTTTTGTTAGGATGATTATAATGTTGTAAAGAGAGAAGGTAAAAACCCTGTATTAGTTTGGACCTATTTTTCTTCAAATAAACTGAATCCCACCTGTTGGATTGGGATCCTTTAAAAGACACCTGTGCCCTCCTCTCCTGCGTCAAAGGTAAGATTGCACCCTGCCACACACACTTAGGTAGGAGCACACTCCATTTACTGATATCAAAATCCTTCGGGATCGCTTAAACAGATTAAAAAAGAGTTGTCTGAATTGAAACAGCAGTTAATTGAAACCTTGGTTCTTCGGGAAGTTAATAGAGGTGAGATCTTGCTGACGTTGGTGGATCTGAGCCACGCAGCAAACTTACATAGACTCAATAATCTTCGGAAAGGTCAATTAGGAGGTCAGAATAATTTGCCGGAATAAATTATCAGGACCTCTCAAAACTCTAAACATGGCGCCCAACGTGGGGCTCTGTGAAAAATAATACTTTTACAGAGTCAAAATACAAGAACCAAAACGACCTAGTGAAAAAAGTCGATGAATACAAATCAGCGAAATACAGGCTGAAAGTCTTGTTAAAATACCTACCCCAAATCCTAGAATATATATAATTAAACCTGAAAGTGTAGTAATTTAAGTTAATACTATTGCACCGGACTGAGGGTTATATTATATCGGATATAGCTGTCTGATTAAAGAAGCTAAAGAAGGTTCGTTTTCCCCTAGTCAAATTGAGAAGCCTGTGGTCCCTTTAACACAGGTTTAGGTGGCTAAAGTGAAGTCAGCCGTAGGAGCACTGCTCAGTACTTGTCCAATTACTTTGAAACTTATAGGTAGGACTTGACCAAGAGCTGCGGTTTGAACTTTTGCGTTAAAACATAACGTGGGGAAGAGTTAATAGGAGATTTAATAAAGGTAAACATAGGTCTAAAGGTACCTATGCTGTTTAAAAAATTCGAAGCTCGGTAAATAAAACTCTTAGCTGAGGTACCCGCATGTACTAACTGAATCCAGAAAGAGAACTTAGAACCAAGTGACGGTATAGTCGGACTGTACACCCGTCGAGAGTAAAGCCTAGGAACTTGCATGTGTATAAAAGAGTGAACTTGAAGCCTTTAATACATTTTTGTGTTGTTTTTTAAAACAAACAAACAAAAATAAATGGCGGACGAGGTTAGAACGCAGTTTTTAATGACTCGGAGCCAACCACACAGGGAGGGATACACAGAAGCAAAATCCGGAGCTTCTGCCCGCCCTGGTCAGCTTAGCCCAGACCCACGGGCGTACCGCGACCAAAATACTTTCCTGTCAGACTACCGTTTGACAGAGAGCAACAAGCAGGTGGTATAATGTTTGAGACCCTATCTCCACCATACAGGGATAAAAGCTCAAAAAATGCCATTTAGGAGTATCCCATCTACTACTCCTAGAAAGAAAAAAAAAAAAAAAAACCCACATTGTTAGACATGATATTCAGGAAAAAGGAATGTTGGAAAATAATAATGTCAAATATTGAAAATCTTAAACTGGATCAACAAACCATGTTAATAAACCCTGCTAATAGGAAGCTAAAACATGCAGGAGAAATAGCAGTAGCTCTGGCAAAGAGAATAGGTCCTAGCATGCAATAACAGTGTGATAATATGATAAGGACTATTAAACTGTCAGAAGGCAATGTGGTGATCAGATGACCCACAAATAACGGTTGTTTTGAATGTACTTTTAAGAAAAAACCTATATGGGAACTATCAGCAGATAATCAAGCCCCAAAAATATCTTCAAAACTAATATGAGAACGTTTTTGCGAAGCTAAAGCTCAAATACTTTACCAAAATCAACTAAAGTATTTACTTTTGACCCCTGTTTGGGAATGGGATTTTCCGTTACACAACGGAAAACTCAATTCAAGCCTTAAAGAACGCTTTAAAGACAAGTCAATGAGAGTTAAATGTGGTGCTATTTTTCTCATGAAGGAGAATGCACTTTTGGAAAAAAGGTCTCCTCTTTTCTCTGCTCCCGAGGTGCTGCAGAAAACACGCAGCACACAGGGTCAAAGACAGGCGTGACCTCTGGAGGGGAAGAAAATTCGAGCAGACCACGAAAGACCATTAAAAGTTTTATGGCCTCAGCACAGAGGAAGATCTGGAGATTTTAAGGAACTCTACCAGGCTACCCACCCCCCACCCCAGCACAAGGGAAATAGTGTTCCTCTCACCAATGAATAAATCAACTCTTAACCAAGTCGGATCTAAAATAGACATAGCTCCAGTTGTTAAGAAAAGAGGGAGATTCAAAAAATTATCTTAACACCAGAACAATAATATCAAATATCATAAACCAAAATAGTATGTTGAGACCCATTCTCAGAAACTAACAATGTGGAGATAAGGAACCAGGGTGATAGAAAATCTGTGTTATTCATGTCTATGACTTGATCAGGAACAGAGGAAAAATTATCACCTGAAGAGAAGCATCTTGCACTTGCATTAAAAATGTATCCAGCCCTGAGGGAAATGTCTCAAGGTACCAGAATGTGCATATACACTCTTTATTTTCCAATATCTGAAGCTACTAAACAAACTGTTTAGGGAGCAAAAACAATGATGAGTAGATGAAGAAAATAGAAGATGATAATGTCTGATCCAGATGTGGGGTGCAGAGGACCACAGGAAGTAAGCCACAAAGGGAAACATTGAAACCCTTACAGAAAACCGCTACTCCACAGATAACACTGTTTACAGAGGGGAGTTTGCGAAAAGGTGACCAAGCAGCCACTTGGGCCTTTATAAAGAAAACTAATTCAGGTGAAGTACTTTGCAAGCAAAAGGGTGCAATACCAGGTACAGCCTGCTGAGGAAAAGGCCATTTGTTGAGGGACTTCCTTTTGCTAAAAAAGGAAAAATAGCACACATCCGTATTATTATTGATAGTGATTATTATTAAAAAGCGGGTAAAGAAGAGCTTAATAATTGGGAACAAAGGCAGTTCAGAAATGTGAAAGGTGAAACGCTGACACATGCCCATCTATTGAGGGTCTTATTGCAGAGTTAAAGGCAGGCATGTAGAATGGAATCATGTCCGTGGCCATACAGATAAGATATCATTTAACTATCAGGGTAATAGAGAAGTTTTACCTTGCTTAAAGCACGGGACGAGTTAACCACCGGACTGCCATATTCCCTAGAATATGGAAAAAGGGTGGAAGCATTCACGTACCACCTGAAGAAGC